TTCGTCTAGATAAAATACTCGATTTATAGCTGAAACAACGGAGATTAATCTCCTGACATTGAAAATAACACTGAACGACCAGAACACTGTTAAAATCGCATTTAATTACGGAATACCACTATTTTTTCGACCGGTGGCGCCACCCGTGGCGAATCGCCGAAACTGCTAGCCATATAATTGACTAGCAGTTTCAGCGATTCGCTACGGATGGCGCCACCGGTCGAAAAAATAGTGGTATTCCGCAATTAAATGCGATTTTAACAGTGTTCTGGTCGTTTAGTGTTATTTTCAATGTCAGGAGATTAATCTACGTTGTTTCAGCTATAAATCGAGTATTTTATCTAGACGAAAGTTATCCGTATAACGGTGTAAGAGCTATTCAAAGTGAACTAACCGGGGTACGCATGACGAGAGACAGTGTCAACCTTTGCAAACAAATGCGATTTTAACATTTTTCTTGTAATTACTGGTGTCCAGCCGTTAGAGAATAGTAATCTACGTTCTTTAATCGTTGTATCTAATGCAAAACGAAGAAGAATCATGCCCGTATAGCGGTTTAAATGCGATAGAACCGTTTTGGCAACCGGATTGCCGCTTCAAATTATATCAACAGGTGAGTGAAAATTTCTAATGATGGAAAAATGCAAATATCTCAGTAATTAAGAACTTAAAATGAACGTCATTAGTCTCAAATTGTCCCCCAGGACTTAATGCATGGACCCAATAGTGCAGAACCCCTGAATTAATAAAATTAGTTATGCCTGTATTACCGTAACCTCTTATGGGGCGACAACCTGATTGCAAAATATTTCGATCGCATTTACACCGCTAAACGGGCATGATTCTTCTTCGTTTTGCATTAGATACAACGTTTAAAGAACGTAGATTACTATACTGTAACGGCTGGACACTAATAATTACAAGAACATTGTTAAAATCGCATTTGTTTGCAACGGTTGACACTGTCTCTCGTAATGCGTACCACGGTTAGTTTATTTTGGACTACTCTTCCAACGTTATACTGACAGCTCGCGTGTTGACCAAGCATTCAGTTTGAAGCTGAAAGAATGTAGATTAATCCCCTTTCATTGAAAATAACAATAAACGACCAGAACACTGTTAAAATCGCATTTAATTGCGGAATACCACTAT